CCTGCATCCCACTAACTAATTAACTAAAGTTCAAAACAACAAATGGTGAATAAATAACTATTCTAATAAAACAAGTAAAATATCCAATTTGCTCTAAACATTAATGTTTTCTAATGCTGCTGTTTTTAACATTAGCATTTTCAATTTAGACAAATAAAGAAGTAAATTATAAAACGCCAACCTTACAACAGCTGTCTGTTGTTGTTTTTTTTAGATTCTGCATAGACATCAGTAGCAAAACTATGTACAGGGGGTCCCCAAGTTACGAACGTCCAACTTACGAATGCCCACCAATACGAATGATGTTAAACTTAAAATTGATAGTATTTTATTTTCCAGATGATTTACTTTTTAACTTTCATTTGCTGTATTTTGTCATTCTATTTCTTCTTTTCTCTTAAATTAAGTTATTTTAGATGTATACAAGGATTTAGGCTATGATATAGTGAAAATTTAAACATTATTCTGTAATTACAGTACGCAGAGAGCATGTGTTTCGAATTATGTACATTTCCAACTTAAGAATGTCCTCAGGAATGGAACCATTTTTGTAACCCTGGGACCCCCTGTAATTAAAATAGAGTGAGATACAGGTTTAAAGATTCCTGAACGTAGCTACTGAGTCCATTCGTACTACATTGTCCAAGAAAAAAATTTCATTCACATTTCAATAATAATAATAATAATAATAATAATAATAATAATAATAATAATAATAATAATAATATAATAAAATAAAATACAATCCCCCACTGTGATTAAGAATATGATGGGTCCAACAGCAAAGCCCAAACAATTGTCAAGATGATAATTTTTTACCAGTTACACACACACACACACACACTTCACAAACTTACACACACAGTTTATTGTTGTTGTGTCAACTAGTAAACATTACAAACCTTCTTTGTCTCTTTTTAGTCTAAATATAAATCAATTTAAAAAGTTAAAAGAAATATATACTGTACAACATATTATTCATCATTATTGTGTGTAAACTGTACCATACTGGAGTGAGGTGATGGCACATATTCAACAAACTTTCTTCTCCATTATTTTCTGCAGCATAATAGGTTGTTTTTTATACACACTGCAAACATTTTATGGTGCTTTGCTACAATGTACAGTCAATATAACTTTTGAAAAAATTTCTTTCATCAAACAAAGTAGCTGGGAAACCAAAAAATTTTGGCTCTAAATGGAATGGGCATGATATGAAATATGGATTTTTTAGCTACTCTGCCAATTAGGAATTGCAAGACTATTTCTTTTTATAACATAATCATCCTCAAGTTTTATGGCTATTTTCCATGTTTGCATGGATTGGCCATGATTAACTGCTGGTATGGTGTTCAGGTTGCCATCAAGCAAATTTGAAGCAAGTTTTAAACAAATGGAAACTTTAAAAATTTCACAATGTAGAAATTCAACAAACTGCATCAACAGTTGGTGGTCAGTATTTCACACACATAACAAAATATAAGGCTTTACATCATGACCAAATACAACAGAAAAAAATTCACCCAAGAATAAACTAGTCAACCACTGAAGGCAATGTATGCCCCTGCCAAAATTTCTAAGTTGAATGAGAATCAAAGCTCTTATAAAGTGAGCTCCAAAAATGCTAAATATGTAATTCAACTTACCAGCAGATATTCTTGATAGGAGGTTACACACCAAGTTCTAGTTAAATGTGGGAAGCATTTCTCAAATTATTGAGCAGGTATGACATTTTGTATAGAAAAATGGACAGGGGTAACATTATATGAACCTCATATTCTATAATGGGAGTCTTAAAAATATTGACATCGTTTACAAGTGAAGATATTATCGTCCTACAGGCATTACCTTGGTTTAAATCAACCAAAACCATTACTTTTCCATTAGTGACTGTTCTAGTTAATCTAAACCAAAGGCTCTCCCCTAAAGCCACTAACATCTTCAAATATCCACATACCATAATATCTCAAAAAGATGAGGTCAAATATAACACAAATGAATATTCAATAAAAAAGTATGTGTGTGTATATATATATATATATATATATATATATATATATATATATATATATATATATATATATATATATATATATATATATATATATATATATATATATATATATATATATATATATATATATATATATATATATATATATATATATATGTGCGTGTGTGTGCTGATAACCACATAGGAAACAACTAAGAGATTTATATATCTTGGTGATATAGAAAATATGAATATTTATACAAAACATGAAATTACAAGATTGACCAAGACCTTATATAAAACTTAAACAAGAATAAAAAAACAAACAAAAGTCTTGTTTTTTTTTTTATAAGATTTCCATCAATGTAAACTATTGTATTTCTTAAAAAATATTCAAAGGGCTTAAATCTTCCTTTCTTAGGAGCCTTTTAGATACAGTACAGTACAATACATAGTAACATACAGTACATCATCAGTACTGTATCTGAAAGATTCAACATCTCCTAAAAGATATACACGTACCTGTACAGTAATTATACATTCACATTTATTAAAATTGCTATTATAACAGCCATCTAATATCATAGTTTTATTGCCAACTGCATCCACTATTCTTGAAACTTACATAAGACAAACCTTTGAAACAAAATAATTAGCCGGGTAATAATGGTCTTATTATTATTATTATTATTATTATTATTATTATTATTATTATTATTCAAGAAAAAGAGAAAAATTATCACCAAGATTTTCAATCTGACAAAATAAATAAGATAAATTCGAGAACAAATACAACCCATATAATAATGATGGTACAGTAGAGTACAGTAGTGGCAACACACACTACTATACTGTATTACTGTACTTATACTCCTCAGTACAGAAATTAGATGCATTATTTTTATATCATTACAAAAAATTCATTCCTCCAATATTTTCTTAATCTAATTACGGTACATAAAACCACACACAAACCCACTAAAGCAATATATTTGTATCACATTCAAAAGATTTCATGCATTCAACAGGATGAAATTAGTGACTGACACTGATACCCATCATGACTTGTAATTCACCAAAGAGATAACATCAGCTAAACATAGAGGGGTTTACTACAGAGATTATCCTAAAATATTAACAGTACAGTAGTCTTTAACCATGAGAAAGGTCTTTACAGATGTACAATAATCAAATTACAAACATTTGTACACTGTAATGTCCTCTAAAACAGCAATGTGTATATTATGATATTAATAAAACTGCAAATAGATGGATGCATGCATGCACACAGACACACAAATTATGTATTGAATTCTTGTATAAAGTGTGTGTAATCTAGCCAAAACCTACACCTTTCCCAGTATGAGGCAATTAACTAAACAGGTCAATAGTTAAATCCTCTGTATGTAATATATAATTTAAAGCATTTTTACAGGGAAATTATAAAGTTAAAGCATGGAAAGGAATGTAAGTATAAAACATACAGAACCCAAAAATTTTGTTATACAGTAGCTACTGTACTGTACTGTACTGTGCTGTATAGTGAAGAAATGGTATAAATAACAAAGAATAAAGTACTACCTGTATTGTATTTACAGTGATTAGAAGAAAAAATCCACTGCTTGCATGCATTATTATGACTAATATTTCTTTAAGTCTAATATTACATTTTTTGTTACTTGTCATCCTTTTCTATTTCAGAAAAGTTTCCTTAACCATTTGTTTTGGTGGTTTAAGAATATTTAGGTCAATATTTGGGTCTGAGACCCAAATTCCAGTTTTACCACAAGTCAAATGATTTACCAATCATGATATTTACAAGTCATGGGATCTAATGAGGTGCAACCTCACAGAATGGGCAGGACTTACTGTTTATGTTTAGTGCTTCAGAGTTTTTTCCAAGAATTCTTAGAGTATTATTGACCTTTTTAAAATTCCTAGGATGGGTTGGGATGGGGAAAGTTGTGTATATGAAGACAATCTTTATTTAGTTCCAATGCTGGCACCAGCAGGGGAGTGAATTTCAAGGTTCCATTCTGCCAAGACAAGACTGTTTCTGAAAATAACTGACTTAATTTTCAAGTGTGTTGGGACAAAATTTAAGCATACAAGTGAAGCATTGTGGAAAAATATATGTGTGTGCGTGGGTGTTTGCAAATGTGTGTGTTATTCTTAATTTGTATTTGGCATATTTTTAAATGAGAAAATTACATTCATCAATGCTGCATGGTTAAAATCTACTATCTAAAAGTTTGGTGGATAACATTGTCAAAGGCTGACACCTTCACCTTTCCATAGATAAGATATTGCTTCAAGTGTGGAAGAATGGCTGGAGTAATGACAGCAGCTGTTGAAGGACAGTACCTGTACTTCCTATACTGTACTTAGGCTTTGTATCACTCTAATCTTAGTCACTCCCATAGAGATGTACAATTTCATTTAAGTTTGTATAACATTCTTTGAATCCATATTTAGGAAAAATATATCCCAGTATCTAAAACTTAATCATTTCATATTCAGTAACAATATAGCTTCATAACCTGATATAATTCATACTACAGTATTTACCTAGCACAGGTCATAAAGATGGCATTCATAAAGGCAACATTTCTCTCTTAACATAATCTTGTAAAGCTTAACTTTACCTACCCAATTTCTGATTTGTATTATCCTAAACCAAGAAATACATGTAAAAATAATAGAATCTTCTTACCCCTGGAACAAAGTAAAATTGAATTCACTTATTTTGTGGATTAAAGAGGTAACTACAGAACATGGCATTCAACAAGTGCTAATTGCAAGAGTAATGCACACAATCACATCATAATACTATACTCACAAGCACACAGTATATACTGTACAGAGTATGTATGTGTATATAAATATATATATATATATATATATATATATATATATATATATATATATATATATATATATATATATATATATATATATATATATATATATATATATATATATATATATATATATATATATACACACCCATACTCTAACACAATTCATACACCACTGTGTACTGTACATTATTTACTATAAATAAATTTCCTGTACTTGGACAGAATTTTGCAAAGCTAAGATAATCTGGCCAAGCTACAAAAAGCAAACATAAGGTACTGTACTTTTGGCACTGAAAAGCATTGATGTGGTAAGATCTGTGCAATGAATAAAAATGTATTACCCTGTACATTCATTTGTTGGTTTGATACAAATTGTCATAATAAATCATGAATTAAAAGTGGTTTACTGTTGTGACTCTGTCAGCTCTGTCTGACTTTGACACCTAAATTTTAAACTGTCTCTCTTATTGGACACACTCTGGTAAAATTCTGGATACTGGCCAGTCTTTAAGAGTACAGTATAAATACAGGCCAGTGAACATATATGAGAGCTTGAAAACAAAGGTAGATCTATGGTCTGTTCACAGCTTATATACACTTTCACAGAAAATTACATTTGAGTGTGTGTAATATGACTGGTGTAAGATGATGTTTTTCTCCAACACAATCTCCAAGATTACTAAAAGATCAAGATGACTTCAGAGTTCAATGAATCTTCTTAAGAAAACAATTTACCAAATTTGGAAATCCCAGTCAAGAGACTTATTGTTTGGTCACCTTCCCCAAATCCTCCCCTAGCACAGCCTCTCAATCAGGGCTGACTACATTCTGAGGCAGGGAACATTCCTACATGGATCAGTAAAAAGTTGCCTGAACAAATTGTGAGCTGAATCAGGAGTTAGAAAAATATAAGGTTAAGATGGCTGGGTAGTCCAATCTTGGAATATTACAAAGATTTTGCACCATTGATCCAGTTGTGCATTGATAAGTGTGTCAAATGGTCAATGGTGTAATATTCTTGCAATAATCCAAGATTGGACTACCCAACTATCTTAACCTTACATCTTTCCCTCTGATAATTAATGCAACCCACCAAGGCAGAAAAGAGGGTTTCCAAGTCACATGATTCTTCCTCTTGGTCATAAAACAATATGTGAATGTTCAAAGCTAGGAAATGGAAGGACAAATTAAAATGTCATGAGAACGCCAGATTAGCGCGCCCAGGGTGACGTTCCAGAATGCGTGCCTTTTCCCGCCACTGTTTAAATCCCCAGCATGAGTTATCAGGTTCCAGTGTGACTATTTGCCTGTCACGCTACATGCTCGGCCACAGGGAAGCTTCCTGAACGTAATTATCTACTTTTGTTTGTTCCAATTTCATTTTTTGTCCATTTTATCATGTTGTATCAAAGCAATATTACTAAAAGTAGTGTACAGTAATTGTATTGTAGTGTAGTAATACTGGAAAATAATGCTATGATTATGTTATAAATGTATTTATCTGTGGAATTATTATTATTCAAGTATTACTTGCTCTACCAAACACAGACAGCCTGGTGACCAACTGCGAGTGTGTTGCCAAGCACTTTTTATTAAAAAAATGCAAATAAAATATTCTAGATAAATTATTTATAGCAAATAAGTATTATGATCAGTAAATATATGCATTACTGGCCATTTTGGACACAAAGGCAAGCTAAAAATAGCTGCTAAATGCGTAGGGACCACGAGCGTTCACCATCACAAGCTGTCCACTTATCTCCCTCCCTCCGCGCTGCCAGAGAAGTTTCTAGAGGGTCAATATATAGTTTTTCTAATTCATTTTTTATTGTTTTATCATTTAAAAAGGTTAAAAATTATTTCTGGAAAAAATTATTTTTCTCAATTTACCCCCGAGTAGGGGTACTGCCAACGGCACCCTAACCTGGGGCTTAAGGGTTAAAGCACAGTTAAAACAGGGTAAAGTTGACCACTGGTTCACTTGGTGTGGTTGCTTATGCAATCTTTCACTGATCCTCATAACACAGTCAGCTCCCTATAAAAGGCAGCCTCTACCAAGAGGAGGTCTTGGAAGGTATATCTCACCAGCCACTTAAGTAATGACTTGCAGGCCACAAAATACATAACAGAATCTATTAGAAAGAAAATTTGCAAAGATTTCCCATTTACCCATATTTAAGATGTTATTTGTATATGTATAAGCAATCAACATATTCAAATGTCACTTTCACAAAAAACTAAGAAAATCTTGCAGCTTACTAAGGCTATTACGACATTAAAAATCATAACACATTCATTCACTAGATGTTGCATTCTCAAAAAATAATGTAAAATTCTTTAGCACCACAGAGTATAAAAAACCATGATCTGCTCTCCTCTATGACTGATAATGTAAAGGATATTGTATTCCTTGGAACAAGATATTACAAAAAAGTGACCTAACAAAATTGTATCGGAGTGGTAAATGCAACTTTCTGATAATTTTTTTTGTTTTCACCAAATATTATAAGTGATTTTAATAATTTATTACTTCAGACAACTTTGGCAATATGATTCTGTGCCCCATTTGATTCAAGTGGACTCTTGGTTTGATGCCCAACATGATCAAGAACTTCAACATCAGCCTTACCTTCATCTCCATCACTACCTGCAGCAGTGGGGTCTTCTGATGTGGCATTGCTTGTCTCAAAGTGCCTGGGGGATTTATTGAGAATAACTTTCATTTCAAATTGCTGTTGCTGAGACTGTTGTTGCTGGCTTGTGATGATGGTGACGTCATTACCTCCACCGTCTGAGTCGCTGTTCATGATGGCACTGTTACGGTTACTGTTAGTCCCGTTGCGGTTCTCCTTGTCCTTATCTTTCTCTCTGTCATGTTTGTGTTTCTCTTTCTTCTCACTCCTCTTTTCACTATCTCTTTTATCTCCATTTCTTGTTTTTTCCTTATCTCTTCTCTTACCCAAATTAGGAATTGGAATGTTGGGAGAGACAAACTTAGTTTTTTCCTTTCCCTCTTTTTCTTTCTCCTTGTCTTTATCTCTGCTCTCTTTATCTTTACTCTCCTTTTCTCTACCCGAGCCCTGAGGAGTTCGAATGGGTTTGCTCGTACTTTTATCATCAGCATCCCCCTCTTCAGTGATTGATGTGAGTGGCTTCCCTTCTTCTGTGTTCTGGATAGGAATATCGTCTGCAGAAAAAAGGTAAAAATTGGTTTTATAATAAGACTTTAACAATTAAATACTGAACTGTACAAGAGTGCAGGAAAAGGAAGTGCAGAAAGTGTTGTACTAAGAATAAATAAACTGGTTCTTCAATAAATTATAAAATATATAATATCATCATACACAAAAAATAATAATACAAAAATACATACGGTATTCAAATAATAATCAATAAGAGGTCTGGACAAAATGATGGGAGTTGTGAACATGAATTGTGACTTTATCGTCAATAAAATTTATCAAGTCAAAGTCAACTACAGTTGTCAGTAACATCATGAAGCCCCACCTCTTATTGATGCCATTACTTATGGAATAAAAAATAAAAAATTATATGTATATATACAGTATATATACCAGTATATGAAACTTAAATTAAATACAGTAACCAAATAAATAAATCAATTGTGCTACAACTTAATAAACACAGCTGAGCAGTGTACATGTTAAACTGTAAATAAACAAATAAATACAATAAGTAAGTAAATAATAATAAAAAATGCTGCCACAAGTGCTACTCTGACTACTGTAATATATGTAACTAATACAATATATATAATGTGTAGGCAATACATCTAATATGAACAGTTAAGAATAAACTCTCAATGACTTCATAATATTTAGTCATTCACCAACAATCTCTTTCTTGACCTTATATTACATACAGTACACTCCTACTGTACAATGCATTACATTTACATGTTACATGCCTATAATCCTCTAGTAATGAGAATAACTTATATTTCAATGCTAATCAATAAATCTACAGCATTATATCTAAACATACGGTACTTTGGAAGCCTATATAAAATAGTAAAGAAAAAGAAGCCATGCTAAATATAATTTATAAACAAATTACATAAAAGCTTCATCAACTTACAAAGCACGTGAATGAGACATCACTTACTATTGTGTCAAACCTGAGCCACACCCTCAGTTCGGCCCCTCACTTCATTCTCCACTTTAACTCCACCTTTATGATGTGTATGGTACCATTGAAATTATTGTATTGCCAATTGGATTTCTATTGTTTTTTAACAGTCAGAGGATTTTTTTAAAGAAAGTATGAAATTTATTAATCATACTAAAGTATATCCATGTATTTGTCTATAAATGTAAACTGTTTTTCAATACAGTATTATTTTATATAGGATATCACACAATTAATGCTTCACTAACACTGGGTGACCTAAACTTATTTTATGAGTAAATTAATGGCATGTCCTTCTGTTTATCTTAATAAATAAATAAATAAATAAATAAATAAATAAAAAATAGGGAAGTGCTAAAAACTTTCATACATCCCAAAAACTTTTCTCCATCATATGGCCATCAACAACAATACTCCTTGGTCTTATAGGTCGTCCAGATATGTCAGCTGAGTGACGGTTCAAAACTTTACTAGGAGTAGATGGAGCAGACTGATGATGCTTTGGACTAAATCTCAGCCCAGTATCTGATGAGTGCCTTGAATGACCTGGGTACTTGGCATCCATATATGGGGAGGGGGATGATGTACCAGAGCCATCCAATGAACCTTCCTCATCCATTGTAGGATTTTGATGAGCGCGAGGTCGGTGGCTTGTACTAGGTGACAAATTTTGCAGAGCAACAAATGGATTGTGGGATTTCAAGAAAACAATTATTTTTTTCTCTGAACTAGGTGAATGGTCCTTCATAGCCAGTTCTGTAGAAAGGGGTGGGCAATCTTCAGGCTTACATTGAAGGTCATTGACTCCTTGTCCTCCAGAAGGTGTTCGTTTATGTTTACGATTCAAATGAAGATCAAAGAAATACCCTTTGGGGGAATGTGTGCCACCTTCTTGTTTACCACTAGAAGGTCTGGAGGAGAGGTTTGGAGAGTCTCCAGCTTTAGAATGTTGTACATCAAAGGTTCCTGGGCTTCCTGATGGTGTTCTTTTATGTTTACGAGCCAAATGCAAATCCAGTCGGATTCCTTTAGGGGACTGTGATCCTTCTTTGATTTGTCTGGGAGACGGTCCTGGGGACTCTCCAGATTTACCAGAATGGTGATCATTTGCTCCTGGGCCTCCTGAAGGTGTTCGTTTGTGTTTGCGACCAAGGTGCAAGTCCAGAAAATGAGCTTTGGGGGACTGGGAACCCCCCTCCTGTCTAGCACTAGATGGTCTGGAACTTGAATCGTCTGTTCTTCGAGATTCTGAATTTTTTAAAATTTTTGATTCAGGTATCATTTTAAGAGCATTAATTCCCATCTGGGGAGTGAGACGAGAGAAGGAGGGACCAGCTGGTGGTGTGGCAGGACCAGAGGATTGGGCGTGGCCTTGAGCTGGCAGCTGTGTTTGCGTTAACGTTGCATCACGGCTAATATCCACATATCGCTCCAAGGCAAATGGATCCTCCTCATCACCAGTATACTCTAACAGATCATCTACCATGCCGCATGCAATAGACGTGCAACATATATTAATAATTAAAATCTTATATCAAGTAATTATATCAAGTGTTGTTGTTTAAAGCTCATGTCACATAAAAAGCCTTGACGTAGTTAAACTAAACACTTGTATCTACTAATTTCTAATCAAACAGAGGAATGGTGATGGAGATGACTAAAACTGCCAAAACAATTGAAAATATTTCTCACATTTAGCTACACCAGGTTTTCTTGAATATCCTACTTATATATACTGTATAATGTATAAATTTGTTCACCAAATATGAAAACAAACATCATAAATACAAAAAAAATATATCTAAATTTCTTGTAACTCAATAAACATAAGCCCTGAACTAAAACATTCTAATAGAGGTGAACACTGAAACACTGCTCACTGAAATATTCTCACAACAGAATAATTAGGTACATAATCAGGAATTCAATTTGCATTATATGTTTCTTAACTTATTAAGTAGTAAGTAATAATTAAACTTCTGTTGTCAAAATTTTTACTCTTAATAGGCCCCAAAATATAAATCTAGTCCTTTCATTTTTACCAAAGACAAAGCTTAACCCAAATGGCACAGAAACTAGAAAACAGAAAAAAAAAGAGGAAGATTGATCCTAAAATTTTATTTTATGACAAGCTTGGAAAAAATCTCAGGCAATATCCCACGACATCTTAAACCTAGAGGTTAAATTAATCCACTGATTAATGTTACGTAAACGCAAGAGTAAACTAATCTTCACCAGACAATGTGGCCACATATCGTGACTAATAACACCTCAATTCTATCCAAGGAAGAAGGAAGGAAGGATCTGAGGTGATCTTTTCACAATTGTTTATAAAATAGAATTTTAGTTATACTCCTCCAATTACGACACCTTTAAAGAGAAACCCAAGTAATAGAAGCCACCTAGAGGGAGAGAGGGAGGTAGAAGGTAGAAAAGAAGCTGCTCGTGCTCACACCCTGACAAGGTACAGTATTGAACCATTCTTTACATGTGTTTAGTAAGTGGATTTAACCTTACACACTCTTCAGTGTTGTCCTAGGTACTGGGGAAACCACAATCTGGTCGATGACTCAAGGGACTTGTGTAGAATGGGCATTACAATGCCCACAAGGTCCTTCAAGTTAGAAAGTCACCAATAAGGAGCTCACATCACACAGGGCAGTATGTCAGTATGTAAACTAACCAACTACAACTGGTTCAACTATGACATGGATAACATCTAAGAAGGAAACTAGTTGATATGAGACTTCCTAAAAGAACCTAACTACAGCTACACTAAACGAGGCAAAGAATACTACCTAAACAATCTCCACATAGTTTGTAAAACTGAGAATGTGAGCACAGATGCATTTCCCTCACTCTCTGACTCACATGTGGAAGACAAACA